TGAGTGAAAATGACTATATTCATGCATTTATTAAGTATGAAGACTTAACAAGAATAAAGTTTTAGATAAAGATAAAAGTGAAAGATTATATTATAATGTAAAAAGTAAAAGCATAATTAACCCTTAAATAAATAATAAAATATTCAAAACTAATAATAACAATAAATTTAAACCATCAATATGCCCAGCAAACATATCGCTAGGATATGCTCTAACCTGACTCTGGTATCATGTTAGAAGTGAACTTTAAGCCAAACTCAACCCCACAAAACCAGCTTGAAGGATGAGGTTTGCACCCACTTCTAAACTATGAATTAGTCAATGTGGGACTTTCAACACCGGTTCAACAGGCTAAACCCGTGGTGATAAAGAAGAAGATGTTTCAAGAGAGAAAAATATTATAGATTTATCTATTCAAGACTCTAATATTATAAATAGACAAGTGATACAAAAATTATCAATATTAAAAACTTATGTGTTCGTCTTTTGCACATTTTTTGGATTATACTTGAATTGTATGATATTTTTTTTATTTTGAATTATCTTTGGAGTTTAACATCATTTTAGTGTGACATTTATTTATATTTGAATTAAAAAAATTAATTTTTTTTATTTTAAAAAAATTATAATTAAATGAGCTAGTGAGTCAACCCGTTTAACCCACCAACCTGTGGTGGATCGAGCTGAGTTCGAATTTTTTCAGCTTGCTAACAAGTGAGCCGAGTTGAGTTGGCTCACTAAGTGACTAACTCGTGGTAGGGTCGGATAGAGCCGGATTACCCATTTTAACAGCTAACAAGTGAACCGAGTTGAGTTGGCTCACTAAGTGACTAACTTGTGGTAGGGTCGGATCGAGCCGAATTACCCATTTTAACCGTTGTACTTGTATATACTAGCATCTTAATTATATAATATTCAAAATTATATAATATTCAAACCTTGAAACAAGATAACAAATTAAGAGTTCTTATATAACTAAATTAACCTGTTAAATTTGAAGAACTAACTAAATCTACATAATTTAATATAAACTTCTACAGTTTAATTTATCCGATTAGTATAATATTTTTTTAAATGACCTTTAGTTTCAATTAATATTTTTTTAAATGACCTTTAGTTTCAATTAATATGTTTTTAAACTTTAATACGAGTGACAAAAGAAAGTTTGGGTTGATTCGCCGGCCTAGAATCTATCAAAATTTGACGGATCTAACCCGTCAACTATTTTTCTAAACAAAAACTAATTTGAAAAATATTTTTTTGTTACATTTCGTAAAAGGTAAAAATATATAATAATATTATAACTTAAATTATTAATATTTATAAATCAAATTGTAATTATTAATTATAATAAAGTAATTTAACATAATAATAATTATTAAAATTTATTCTACTAAGTTTAATAAATGAACAGTATGTAAAAGATGAGTAACTAGCCCGTTTATCACAACTAGTATTATCTCTTGGTTATTTTGTGTGGATACAAATTTCTTGTATGGATTTATTCATTCACCATTAAATATTGTCAGTGGATGAATATGGTTGGTGGGATACAAAATTTAATGCAAGAGATCTTGGTGAAGGAAAAAGAAAAAAGAGAAATTATTTAAGGTTTGAAGATGGTGATAACTCCTAAAAAGGGGACAAACAAAACACTTGTGTTTGACTTTAGAGCAAAGACTGACTCCAACCAATGTACCAAAAAATAAACAAGATAAAATCATACCCATATTTCAACTAAAAGGATAAGGATAACACATTTTCAATCATCATTTTCTATTAATTGCCTTTACAAATCTTCTTCACTATATTGCTTTAATATATTCTATCATCACATTAATTTGCCCTATTAAAGAACTTAGTTGATTTAAGTTAANCAGAAAATTTAACTTTTATTTTAGAAAGTTTTATCCACAAATCTCATTCTTGTTCACATAAATCATCTTTCACAAATCCTATTATGACAATTTCAAAAAACTTATTTTGAAAGACTTTGGAATAAATAATCTAAAAATCATTTTTTTAAAGAGTAAAATTGTAGAAAAGGGAGCCCTTTAAGCCCTTCAAACCAAGTAACTCAAAATAGTTTGATAATACATATATAAGTGTTTTTTATGATGATAATTAATGTTCATTTCTTTGTTAAATAAGTTATGAAACTAGGTTAAATTCTATATGTTATAAATCTATAATTGATTAAATAGTGATATGTGATGAGTGCTAAAATTGTAAAAAATGGGTTTCACTCACTATTTTAATTGATTAAGAAAAATAATTGATCGATTAAAATTATGTGTACATGTTAATCGATTAAGAAAATAATTCAATCGATTAAAATGGTCTGTTCCACACTAAGAAGATTGCTCTCTGTTTTAATTGATTAAGAAAAACACTTAATCGATTAAGATAATAATCTAATTGATAGATTTGTGCTTTTGTTATATACATTTGTTTCAATTCTTTGCACGCATGAAAACATTTGAAGAACTAGTGAAACAAGAACATTGTCTTGAGTGGTCTTGGAACATTCTTGGAGAAGCCAACATTGATTGAGAAAATTCAAAAGTTCTAAGCTTCCAAGAGTGAGAGGAATATCAAGCAAGAATTTGCATATGAGTTCTTTGTAATACCTACACTTGTGGTGCATCAAGTTTTGTCTTTTTGTAAATTATTTGTGTATTATTGTTGCCTTTGATGTGTAGGCAAGACTCTTAACGGGAGTGTGTATAGCCTTATCTTTAGGATTGTGTTTTTTTGTGATTGAGAGAGTAAGAGTACATAGAGTAAGTCTTGTACTCTATAAATCTTAACACTTGATATTAGTGAATTTCCTTCCAACTGAGGTTGTTGGAAGAAGACTGGATATAAATTCTGAAGAGTTGAACCAATATAAATCTTGTGTTATTTTCTTTCACTAATCTTTCTAAATATGTGAAGTGTTAAAAGATTAATTGAAAATGACCTTATACACCAATTTTTTTTAAAGAAAGTTAAACAAGTTTTCAAACTAATTGACTCCTCGTGGTTGATATATATTGTGTCAGAATTTAACAAAATTAATTATTTTAAAAATAATAAGAGTGCAGTTAGAAATTATGTGATACAATAAAAAGTAAAAATAAAAATCCTCTTTTTAATCATCAATAATCTAAAAATGTACTCAATTTAGATCGATAGTTGCTCCCTCCACCACCACACAGTGCTCCCAGCACCTCCCCATTCCTCTTTTGTCTGCAAAATTTTTAATTTTTGTTTTTACTTTCACCAATATCTAATCATTTCATTAAATCTCATTAATGGTTCCCACCAGTGTATGAATGCACCCACACTCCATCACTTCCATGGAAATTAAATTGCTCTCCATTTACCCTACTGTGATTCTTCTTTGCTGTGATTCTTCAAAACAAAATCAATTGACTGTAATTAAATTAATAATAATAATTTGATTAAATAAAAGGGAGAAAGGAGAAAGGAGAAAAGAAGAAAATAGAAAAAGGGAAAAGAGAGTGATGAGTGTGGTGTGTGAGTTTTTGTAAGAGGAAGAGAAAAGAAAATGGTAACAGTGAAATGGTGAAGTTTCAAGTTTAGAAGAAAGATGAGTTTTGATAAGAGGAGAGTGTGTTGTTTTGAACGTTGTAATCTTAAACAAATTAAAAAATCTGCTTCCCATTTTCTCCTCATTCTCGAACCCTAAAAAAAAAGGAACTTTTACACTAATGAATGAATTTTACCTTTACTTTAAACATAAAGCAATTAAAAGAGACAAAAGAGAGAGAGAGAGAGAGAAATTTCCACACTCTGCTCAATCTTCCACTCTTTGAGAAAGAGCTTTTGCAATTTTGTGGAACACGAGATATTATAATTCGTAAAATAATAATTAAATTAATGATTAAAGAAAACAATAACATTTCACAATGATAATATAACTTTTTTATATATACAATTATTAGTTCTAACATGCTAATTCTTTGGAAAAGAAAAAAAAAAGTTAAACTCACGATTTATCCCTTTCTATTTTTACGATCAAGTAAATTTTATATTTTGATCACATAAGTTAATAAAAAAAATAAAAAACTGATACAGAAAAATAACACAACTTAGACCCTTTGTTTAATCTCTCTAAAATATTTTAATTTTAAACATAAATCTAATGGCCTATTTAAATTTTAAATTTTTATAAATTTGTGTATTTTTCATCGAGGTTTTGTTAATTATTTTTGTTTACACACTTGGTTATGTATTTATTTAAAAATTTCAATTACATCCTTAGATTTTGATTGTTTTTATTTGGATTATTTTTTTAAAATATGATGTAAATTTGTTTTTTTTTAATAATTTTGTTTGTTAATAATATATATTATAAGTGAGTTAATATAAAATGATTTAAAATAATAAAAATCATTTTTTTATTATCTCAATTATATTATTGGTAATTAATCACAAAATTGTTAGAAACACAAAATAATAATTACACTCAAGATAATGTTATAAAAAATTTAACAAAAAATATGAAAAAGACTTAAATGTAAATTTTTTAATATGGAAGAAAAAATATATAATAAAAAATTAATAGAAAATTGATTATAATTTTTTGAATATTTACTAAAATAAAAAATTTAATAAAAAATATTATATCATTATATAAAAGAGATTCTCTTTCTGATTTACAATTCTACTCTCTCTTTTTTGTTCTTTAAATAATAATTTTTTAAAATTAATTTTATCAAATTTATCCAAATATTTCAAACTTAATCGTTTTGATATTTTTTATTAACTACTTTTTAAAATTAAAATAACTATTTATAATAAAAAAACTATCTACAAATAAATAAAAATATTTAGAGTAACATTATATATTCTAAATTATAACTTTACTATTTATGGATATCGTTATGTATGTCCAGTAGTGAATTGAATAGGAGTACATATAAATATGAAAAACTTGAAAGTTAATTGAGTTTAAAAAATTATAAAGTTAGTGATATTGTTTTTAAGAATAAAATGAAAGTATTTTAACTTTGCATTCCCCAAAAGGAAAGAATAAATGTAAGTAAAATTGAAAAAAACATGGGCACAAATCCAATAATATATAACTATTGTTCTTTTTGTAAGTCTTCTTCCTTTAGCTTCCCACATTCTTCACAAGCTGTTTGAAACTTTCTTTGGACTTTTACTTATTGCACTCCCCTTTGTTAACCACACTTCCTCCACCTGCAAACAAAGCTTTCACACAACACATTAAGCACTATCATTAGGTTACAACTATAATTATCCTCTACGTATTAATCATCGTTAACCCAGATCACACGGTGGAGATACCTTCAGCACTCGATCCTCCACCTGATTCAGCCTCTCTATCACCGTTCCCTTCGCTTCCCGTCTCCATCATCACGTTCTCATGGACGGCACTGCTTCTTCCAAGCTCCTCGGGGAGAAGAAATCTACGGGAGGACACGCGTCCATCACATCCGCTTGTTGGTGGGATGCGCACAGCTCTTTGGTGATAGATTTGCACCTCTATTTCCTCCAATTGCCTCCAACTGAGTTTTTTTTTTAAACATAAAAATTTGTCCTTTAAAACCACTTAAATTTTTTACTCTGATAAAAAATCTTATAAAAAAACATACTTTATTTTTATAAAAATCATGATTTCTTGTCTAATAATATAATCTAAAATCATGTAAAAATAGTAGAAAAAAAAATTAATTCAATTAAAAACAAAAGGGACCTAAAATAACAATTTTAAAAAAATTAAATATATTTTAATCTTTAACTTGAACACAAAATATAATTCGTTCTTTCTAAAAAATTTAATACATTTTGTTCTAAATTTTAAAAATAAATAAAGATAACTATTTATATATAGATATCAATTTAAAATTGCAATATCAAATCTATTTAAAAATATTTATTATAGTTTTCAAAGAAGAATTGCATAACCTAATAATTAATTAAATAAACTATATTAAGCTAACTAAGCAAAATAAATTCACTATAAACATACCAAATTATCCAAACGATCAATCCTTGAGAGAATTGGTTCCTGAGTTGCGGAAGCCATTTTCTGTCACTTTCCAGAAAAGAAAAAGAAAAATTTCTGTTCTTCCTTGAAATTTATGAATGTCTCTTCTTAAAGTTATAACACTATTTTTTTTTCAGTTTCAATTTATGGCTACTTTCATTCATATAAATAAACGAAGAAAAAGAGTTGAAAGTATGTGTTCATAATTCCGGTGGTGGTTGCCACGCGTTCAGCTTTTTGTGGGCTGCACCTCCTACTCGCATCCTCTGCCACGTGTAAACATGACGTGTACCGTTTGAGACGGTTTACAACGCGATCCATTGCTCTTAAAATCACGCACTCCAAGGCCACGTGCATGCCATGCATGAAATAGCCAAGGACACGTGTCCTTTCAGTGAAGATTATTCACAGCCCAATGAACAAAGCTTCTCGAAGGATCGCAGTATATATCTATATGTTTATCACCACGGAGCGTTAATTTATTTTTTATATTTTTTCAAATTCATATATCTATATGTATTACTAAGAATTATGAGAGTTATTTAGATTGCTACAGTGTTTATAACATGTAAAAAGTAGTGAGTTTACTGATCACAAAAACAACTGAGAAAGATGTGTGTACATACAAAAACTGGAAGGCACGTTGAGGAACAAAACAATGCCAGAGAGTCAAGATCTAATACTAGGTGTTTTCTAGTATCTTCTATGGAACTGCACATAACATAAAAGACAGGAACAAAATCTGGTTATACAAACCATAGCATAATTACAAAAGCCCAGAACACAACACAGACATACTTGTCTTTTGGTCTAGCAGTTAATACCACACTCTTCAACATCAGGGCCAGTGACTCTTGTGGTGAAAGGATCAATTCTCACCCACAACAGAGAGAAAATGGATGCAAGCAGAATCGACCACACCACCACAATGGTTGGTGTTTGTTCTGGCGGCCCAGCGGACCTTGAGGAAAGGGTTAGAGATGGATGAGACCCAGAATGCAAAGAAGAAAAGCTTCCAAAGAGGGTCCCCCAGGATTTGGTAGCCATGTTGATGCGTCCGTAGGAGATGCCGGACAACAACTCTACAAGTTTATTATATAAGGGTTGTGGGGGGGATTCAGAAGGGTGGTCATTTGAACAGTGTAGAGCTCAGCAAAAATCTCCATCTTATCTGAGGCCTTCGAGGGGTCACAGTGAAGTTGGTGTCAATTCCAGCCAGCACTTTCAGAAGGCCCTGGAAAACGGCAAAGAGATGGGCCGAGACACCGCCGATGACCCAGAACTGTTCTTCTCCACCACTCGTCGATTCCTTACGCCGCTCCATCTCACTCTCCAGGATTCCGGTGGCAAAGATGAAAGAAAAGAGAGAGATGACCATATGCTTGCCAAGGTTACTGATCTGCAAGCCACAGCAAAAAACTAGTTAGGAATACTCACAATGGCACAAGATGGTGAGCTTGCCATTTGAGAAAACTGAGACTGTTTCTGATCCTACCAAATGCATTTCCCATTTTTGATGAATTAACCAAAAACAATGGTAAATCATCAGAGTCAAATGTGAAACCATCTATGGATGTTCTTCATCATTAACTTTAGCTAATCATTCTTAAAAATCCTAAATGGGAAGTAGAGGTGTAAGCAAACATCTAAATTTAGAAAATGTGATGTAGTTATGAACCTTTAAAAACATCATTTTTTATGTTAAAACATCATGACCCTCTTATTCATCACACATGACAAATGATTAGTTCAATTCAAAGTGTACGAAGAAATCACAAACCTGCGGAATGATGAACTTGTTGGTGAGCAGACAGACAGCAGGCAAGATACAATAAATGAGAAGGGGAATGGCTGTGACTGGATAGATTGTGGTGTTCACATAAGCAAACCTTTCAAGCCACTTTAGCCTTCCACCATAACCATACCAGATGGGACAATGTCTGCTGAAAAGAATTTCCACAGAACCTAAAGCCCATCGAAGCACTTGGTTTAGACGGTCGGAAAGATGATGGGAGCGGAACCTTTTAAACGCCCGGCCGCTTATGCATCCAGTATATGAACGCCAACCGCGAGCATGCATTCTATTAAATCCGGTAAGAATATCTTCTGTGACAGAACCATAGATCACATCCTATCTGTGGAACAGAAGACAACATGTAATGATCTTCAAGATAACTATATTTTTAAGCCTAGTTATAGTTCATTGTAGAAATAATGTGCTCAGTTGATAAGATCAGAGTGCAACTTAGGAAGAAAGAAAGTTGAAAATCAAAGACGTTAAGCATAGATGACACCACCACCTCCGATCCCCATTCTATGATTATCCTCATAACCACAGCTGATAACATGAATAGCCTCCTTAAGAAGATTCTGGAGTAGCAGACTGAGGAACACCACCATTCTCCATAAGTGGAGGCTACAAAAACTGCAGACTGACCAAACCTTTTCTCCAAGGATCAGTTTGTGAATAAGTAGTGATTCTCATCATCAAATCCACAGTACTTAAAACATTAAGTCAGAAGTAAAGTATGATTAATTGGAAGAGGACTAAAAGATTTACTAAAAAAGAGTTGTTTTAAAAGAGCGTGAAAAATTGCACACATTTCCACGAAGTAAACGCAATTTCAGAGTTCTACCTTATATCCTTCTTCTATATCCTCTAGACTGAAAAAGGTACAGTTGGATCAACTTTCTTGCTAGATTTTTCTTGTCTGATCCTTTCTTACTGACTTGAACTCTTCTTCCGATTCCACCACAAAGTGATGATAAAAACCAAGGCTTTTTATGCTGGGTTTTAGAGGAGGTTCATAACCATATAAAGTCTGTCCTATTGAAGGACAATCCAGTACCAAATAAACAGGACCCTGAATGCCATCCAAGCTCTCAAGTTTATCTGTTCCAGAACAAAAAAGTATAACAAAGAGATTGAATCTCATAGGTACAGAGAATAAAAAACAGTAGCAGAAATGAACACAGATGGATGAACATGGGCATGAGGTACTTACATCAAAGAACACGTGTATACGATTGGCATAACGATCATTTTATCAATAACCATCAAACCTCTGTGGAAAACTGGACATACAAACATGTTTACCAGGTTGGGATCCATCATAAAGCACATAGCTCCCTCAAGGCCTTGCTGTTGTTTATGTAGTGATCACAATCAAGATTCAATAAGAAAGGGTCCATTAGTAAGGACTGCAGATACTCTTACCTACAAGTTAAATAAATCACCACTAGTGAGATGACTATGTTTGGAATATGTAAGGAAAAAAGATAACTTTCACATTTTATATTGTAAATGGTACTCACAAGTGGCATTCATGGCACCAGCTTTCTTGTGATGTTGGAAACCTGGGCGCTTTTCACGAGACACATAGACCTAAACGGGGAAGTTCATTGCCCTCAGTGTCAAGTCCTCCACTTTGGCCAGAAAACCTGCAGATATAAAATGTAATATTGTCTTAGTGAATGACATGCTAGCAATTATGCAACATTCCAACCAAAAATTTAACATCTTCACAGAGTAAGACTTGCTCAAATGAATTAGTTAATAGAAATTTAGAAAAAATACTTGAGTATAGTCCATAAGGGTAATGTGTATTAAGTAAACTTCGATATCGACTCCAACGATTAATAGATGAACAACAGCTTCTAAAAAGTCAGTCATCAAAGATTTCAACCAACCTGATCATCCTGGATGGTCTCTGGTGTATTTCCAGGCAATGGTGTACCATCTTGCATCACCCATCCTTCTTCGGGAATTTTCTGTGCCTTTGCAACTAGTCCATTGATACGAACTTTGAATTCCTCATATTCTCTCTGTGAAACATAAATGAGAGGAGATACTATTAAAAGATGCCCCTGTGAAATACCAAACTCATGCAAATAGAGCAAACGCATAATGCATTTGTAAACCAATATCTTACCTTATTGCTCTACGATCCTTGACAAATGATGGATGAACCTTATCTTTCAAGTAGTCAATCTTTTGTGCAAAGTACCACTCAGGTGCACGGGGTTCAATGCTATACTTCTTGGAAAAGGGAACCCATTTCCTCGCGAATTCTGATGTCTCGGCAAGGGCTTCAAAAGTCAACATAGCAGCACCATCATCAGACACATAGCAGGAGACCTTATCCACAGGGTAGTCAACTGCCAGAATAGACAGTACAGTATTGGCAGTCACAAGAGGAGGTTCCTTTAATGGATCAACAGTACTGACAAAAATGTCAACGGCAGCTAGTTGTGAAGGTTCTCCTTCCCTATCATACCTGCAACTCAGGAATTTGGTTATTAAGAGAATGAAGATTGAAAAAGAAAAACAGGCATGCCACATGCCACATGCCACAATTTTCAGTACAGAAGCACGGTAAAGTTCAAGAGTTACCTCAATGCAAGCCTGTCAAGATATGTTTCACGGTTGACAGGAAGCCACTTGGGGAATTGATCCAATATCCAAGACATGGCAAACCAAATCTCACATATAACTGATACCAACCACAATGGATATGCATTCGGCACTGGATTCGTTATCCGATAATGCAAGAAAAATGCAAAAGGAATAACCAGCCGCAACATAATGACCATACGATATGGATTTTCCTAGATGATGGAATCGAAACCTTCCTAGAAAGTGTTGTCGAGCTT